GGATAGTAGGTATTCTTTCAACGCTACTGTATGGTGTACATAGAGCTTTATATTGTGACTGAAATTGATCAAAGTAGTGGCATTATGGCGTAAAAAATTATAATCTGTTAAACATTTTTATCTCTATAAACTAAATAACCTAATATTTTTACACGACTCGGTTCTCTATTCAACTGTACGTTTTATTGTATGTATGTTACGCGATATTTTCGACAGTTGTGAAGCGATTTAAAAAGATATTTTTTTAATAAATAGGTCTCATATCTGGGGACGTCCTGTATAAATTTGGATAAAATTCACCTTAAGCGGTGGTAAAATAAAATGAAGTTTTAATGAATAAAAAAATAATTTTACATTTCAAATCCGGTGCTAGTGAAAAGACATAGTGTAAAGAAGAATTAAGGCCTCGACATCAAAATGTGACATTACTCTATTATCTATAGTTTTAATAAGGCGGCTTTTATTTTCATTAAAAGTTAGCTTTTATTTGTCTATATTTAATCCTAACTAACATGTTGTTGTCTAAAATTTGCTAGCTGACTCCAAACTACGGGTAAAATGGCAGCAAAAGCGCGGTCCTGTAAGCGAGACAGTAGGGGTAGGGGTCCGACGCGACGTAACAGCGTGTTTTAGCATGAGTATGGACGCCACGTTTGATATTCGGATACCTTTATTACGCATTGTGTTCGAATGACAGGAGCACATAACTGCACGAACTATAAGCTTTACTTTCACACTAAATTGAGTGTTTCATAAAATGTTAAAATTACTTTGTTATCCCGAAATTTATTTTAAAGTCGGGTATGCAATTTTGTTTACATAGAATCTAAATATTAACAATTAAGTAAAACAGAGTTTTAAAAGAGTTCTACGTTATGAAAAATAAATTGGAATTAAATATTTTAACATTGCTAATATATGTTTATATATTTAAGTACCTAATTTCTAATTATATATATGGATAAGTATAAGATAGGAGCTAAAGCAGATTTCTGGCTTGCCGCTAAAATATATCTTGGTGTTTGTGTAGACTTAATTTTAAAGTCAGAAATTTCGGGACAAGGCACAAGCAGAACAAGGATTAGCGGGCTATTAGTTCAAAAACTTTTAAAATTGACTGTTTGAAAAACATTCATAAAATCAACATAAGTCTAGTAGATTTTGTGTGACCTATCTTACATATTTTTTATTTAATCAATATAATGAAATCAGTTAAGGATTATAAATATGGAAAAATAACTGCATATTTTAAAAATTATAGGCATAAATAATTATATACGTCTAAAATGGAAAAAGTAAAAATGAAAACCGGTTCCAACAGTCAATCAATATGTTTACGCGTGTTACCGAACATAGACTAGATTAAAGAGAACTAAAAAGGGGATCGTCAACTTTGTTGCTCGCAGAATATGTAAAGTCTAGTAGTCAGATTGTTAGTTTTACCTGTATACGAGAACTGTTATATTGGATTCTATATGACCACAGAATAAATGTTACACTAATATAAAATTTTACGTGCACTATTTTTTATATTTGTATTCTTATTATAATCAATGTTGCTTTCTAATAAAGAAAGAATCATCGAAATCGATTGACCCAAAAAAGTTATGAGGTAACCCACATAAAAAAGAACATACTTTCGAATTGAGTACCTCCTTCTTTTTGAAGTCGGTAGAAAATAGGGTGAGACTTTTGGCCTAAACACTCTTCGTGAATTGTACGGGTACAATCGAAAGCCTAATTCGATCCCAGCCGGCATCAAAGAAATTGTTAATTGTAACTTTATGTGCTAAAATATATAATGTTCGGCATTGGAGGTACATTGTTAAGAAGTCTTAATTTGTATCTCTAAGATACGTGAAGTCTAAAGTCCACCACACTCCCTCTTAAAAATCAAAAGTCTGTTCTCAGCAGTGGCTCGTATACCTACTGATTATAAGTTTAATATGAAGATCTATTGTTACACTTATCCGTTTCTATAGCATTGTTGTTAAATGTCTTTACGTAGTAGAGTCACACTGCAACTGTAGTACGAATGGGTCATCGTGACCGGGGAAGAACCGCGCACGCACAAAATACCAGTGTGAAATAGCAGCATAACTTTGCTGTGTATAGTATGGTGTGTGACGAGAATCGAGGATGCTTTTAGATAAGGTTTTATGATACAAAATCGGCGACAGGACTGTGGGCCAAATTAAGATTTCAAGAAACCTTTAACTACCCACTACCTCGTTGGCCTTATGGTCGTAAGTATGACTGCTGATCATAAGGTGAAGGGGAATCCCGGGTCAGACCAAAATCAGTTATTGGGTTCTCTTTCGAGAAATTCTCAGTATCAGCTCGGAGTAAGGAAGTTGGCGGTGTTTCACTCCCGTACATTGAAAAGCAATTAAAAGCTGTTCATTCCGCTGCCCGGTCTCTCTCCGGCCGTGTCAGATTTTCGTCCTATCGGACTCTGGGAGAAAGATAATAGAAGTTAATCTTGTCCTACTCAGATGGCTAATATCCGTTGAGCCTGGTTGCCGTACCCGAAATTCGGTCTGGAGGACGTTATTATTATTAACTTTAACCAACGAGCATGTACATAATGTGAAAGAAGCGAGAGAATTGTGTCAGGAACATGAAAGATGGAAGCCTTACTCTGTGTGACACGCGTACGTAGTTATAAGAATCTATGGGCCACAATCCCATTGTCACTATTATTTCTATAAAAATAAATTTCTTTTGTTATTAGAGGCCTGTTTAATATCGGAATGAAATTTGAACAAATTTCATGAAATTAATACAACGTACCTGCCAACACAAAAAGTTTTAAATAAGTAAATTACATGATTCAGACTTACGTATACCAACTGGCATTTTGTAACACGTAACTCTACAACTACAACCAATAGAAAATCGATTCCTAGATTCCTAGAGAAAGATAGAGAATTTTCAATTTTATAGCGTGACATATGAAAACATGAATTTTTGACGACGAGTTGTCGCTTAACTGCCTTTTACGAGTAGTCAACGTTCGGCAGCCTAGAAGAGCATGTGTTAATGCTTCATCGAGTCTTGCTTAATTGAGAAAGTTCAAAAAGGGAAGAAATCTTTGGCTGAATTGTAACTTATGATGAAATGTAGATGCCTCACTCATAGAAAAATAATGGTAATTCTAAATAGATTTTTGTGTCCCGTTGTGTCAATAACATCAGTCTATTGTAAAGAACTTCGAACTATTATTGCGAAACTCACAAAAAGACATGCGTAAGTGTCGTAGAACACTCGGTTGGAATGAAGTTCTTTTCGTAGTATAGTATTACTGATAAACGTGTTATATTATTGATTAACAAATACAAATAAATGAATTACTAACATCTATTAAAACGAAGTGTCATTTAAAATAAAATAATATTTCTTTCAAGGCAAGATAAGAAAAAGTGCGAGGGAGTTGTATATTATTCCTTATGGCCGCCAAGCTCGTCCACACTACGTTGGGGTCGTAACGGAAAAATCTTACACTTTTTGTCGCCTAGCCCCCATCCGACAAATCCGTACCGTCCGATAAATAAATTTATTCCAAAAAATAACTACCTTAATTAACTTCGTAAAATCTCAACCGATTACAACTTTTTTCTTACTTTGAATTAATAGTATTCCCTGCAAGGAAAAAGTTTGTTTTAAGGAACGGTGCACAAGTACTCTGTAGAGTCCATCAATCTCAAAGTTCTATAGCAAAGACATAAAAATTATCTTTCCTCGAGATAGCGAAAATGTATGGATAATGAGCCAAAATACTACAGTTAAATAAATATATTTTACTCAAATTAAAAATATTTTTTATAGGATAGGATGACAAACGAGCACACATTCCACCTTATGGTAAGTGGTTGCTGTGACCCATAGACATCTACATTTATCCTCAATAAAGAATCAAAATGCAGATGCGTTGTCACTCGTCAGGACTAAGATGGAATGCCTCTACGAAACACAGCAGTTTTAAGCTGCTATTTTACGCTGGTATTCTGTGAGGGCTTGGTCCTTCCCCGGTTGAGCCGACCCATTCGTGCTACAATTATACCACTAATATAGCTGCAGCACGGCTCTACCACGTAAAAGCATGGCTCTACCACGTAAAGTGCTTGAATTTTTAATATAAAACTGTAAATTCATATGTGCTTTAATCCCTAATATTAATAACAATAACTGAAATGATTATCAATATTATAGTATAAATAACTTGTTACAAAGATAAAAATGTTATTTCATAATTAATTTTGTTAAATAGTTTTCCATTTACTTGAAAACTCATAAAAAGTTAAACTTTTAAGAAAAGGGCTGGCGGGACGTAAGGCGGTTGCCCGTAGTTCCGCCCTCCGCATTTGACATTCACCCGACTTTCTTAAGTTGCCCGGAAAAAGTTTCAAATACTTCCCAATGTCACGGACTTTTCCCTTACTTGCAAACTTCGCCGCAGTATTTAAATTGTGTGATTTTGTACATACTTTAATTTGTTCGTTTTACTTTGGTTACACGTACTTTTCACTTAACTTACAAACTTAATCGGAATAATTTAGTGTTGTGATATTGCGTGATTTTGGAAACCTTTTAAGTTGTTCTTTTTATTTTTGGCCATTTCATTTTGACGGCAGGAAATACTTTTGTAATACAGATTATTGAAGCTGGAATTCTTTACGAGTTAGGACTTTCAGAAACTCCTATTAACTTATACTTTCCGTATCTATTTGCTTAGCTTTTTAATTTATTTGTTATTTCTTTTAATGAACACTATTGTAATTTTATTTAATGTAAATAAATGTTTTCAATATAATGCTTTAAAAAATGAAATGTTTCTGTGATTGCTTGATGAAAAATATTTTTACCATCTGATTTTGTATAAATTTTTAATCAGAAATTTTCTGGTACTTAGTTGAAAGTTTTTAAATGAGAATAGTTAAGAATATTTCTTTCTGTAGGAATACTCAATGTGTAACAATAACTGCACCTTCAGCACTCACCGCGACCACTGCGGCCGACGAATCTCAGATCATTGAACTTTGCCACTTGGTTCTTCATTACCGCCGAGCTGTTTCGGAGCTCTGCACAGCAGTTCTCATCGTTACCAGCGCGAACGGTGACTAGAGTACCGTCTCCGATATCGCCGAGGGCTACCACCTTGAACGCTACTGGCAACGTCTTGTTCGAGCGCCAGTGGGGTGGTAACACGGTGCAAACGAAGTGCGGACTGCCCGTCCGCACTAGTTCTCCGGGGTGCTCGGACAAAAAATCGCCCAACGTCCTCTCTGCGAGGATGTCCGACGTCATCTTCGTGTACGTTTCATGGAGCAGTGTCGAGTTGGTGTCGGGCGACACGGCGCCACTCGACGCCCCCGTCAGGTGCATCCTCGACACCCGAGATCGCTGCGTGCTACACATAGAGTCCACTGCGTTCACCGCGGTCGCTACATCTCACTTCACATTGCACAACTCTTGTACCCGCAGATAAAACGATCTGACGTATCCTAGCACTCTCATAGTAACACACAATGCGTATTATTATGTTTAGGAGGGCTCAGTGACGAGATGCGGGAGTACGTTGCTAGGGAACGAGCGCGTGGCCACTTGATGCGATGACGTCACGCGACGGCCTTGCCACACTTTTTTTCCCGGTGAATGAAAAGTTCGGCGGCGGGCGGGCGGGACGCGAGGGGCTGATTTTTTCCGGCGCAGAGGGTGACTCCCCCGCGCGCGACGAAAAACTTTTTCACTAGTTTCAATGACGCCACTGTTCGCGCTCGGTATTTACGTGATCGTATGCACGTTCCGCTTTCGATACCTGTAACTTATTTTTATTATTACTCGAATTTATTGTTGCTTTTCGTATTTCGTAGATTCGCGAGTGTAGGGAAAATGCGTGCGTCAGAGAGCGCGGCTGTGTTGCGACTCGCGGCGCGTGGGGTTCGTGCTTGCGGTGTCCGCCAGCGGTGGCTATTAATACGCGGCGTACGTCCGCGCCCGTCGACTTCGGACAAAGTTTCGCGGGCGAGTCGGTGCGCCAGCGAGCGAGAGGCGGCGACGGCGCGGGCGCGGCGGGCGGCGGAGCGCACTTTGCGGTCGGGGTGGGTTGGGTTTAAAGCCGCCGAAGGATAAAACATACAAATAAACACGTGTTCGCGCCGGCGCGAGCGAGAGATGCGGCGCGACCGGGTGAGAAAGCGGGACGAAGTTGGCTCTTGCGGCATTTAGCGGCCGATCAGCCAGCCGGCACTCGCCTGCCAAAACCGAGTTTCAGCCGCTGTTACCGCCGCAGCTGATGATGCCGCTAACACTTTTCAAACATCAAATCTTGTCACGTGCAACTTACGCCGCAAATATGAACTGTGATTTCTTATCAATTGTGTTATATATTTTTTTCTCTCATACAGAGCACTAAATACAGGTCGACTTTATGTTTAAAAAAGTTTGTTGAGTAGTTTAAAACATTCAAGTGAGTTAATTTTTTAATATACTTTACTTGTGCCATAAGAGAGTAAAACAATCGTTTAAATAAAATATTCACAATATTTCTATTAAATCAGTAAGTTCATAATAGGGGACTTATAATATTTAAAAAAAATTAATTATACAAAAGTGTTAACAAAATATATTAAGTAGGACAATTCCCTCGAGTTTTGTAAAAGTTTTACATAATATAAAACAATATAATAAAAATTCTTAAAGCATGTCAAGTCAGTCACTGTCAAGTGAACACTATAAATAAGTGTTATAGTACGTACGATGATAATTATTCGAATAAATGTGAGAGAATATAAGAGGAAGACTTCATTCAATAATAGCGTGAAATTAATTAGTTTTGTTTAAAGTAACATCCTGCATTCGTCCCACGGTTGAGAGGCCTTCACTGGTTTTTGAAGAAGATTTAGATTTGACATATCCACGAAATATTTTATTATCTAACTTAGGCAGATTTCTCTATTTAATATTTTTATATAATTTAAAAATTGCGATTAACCGTATCAGTGGTGCAACGGGAATAGAGCTCGGGTCGTTCGCTATAGATAATTGTAGAAATTGAACTTTAGATAATTTAAGGCGAACGTTTAACCTTAGAGTCGCTGCTCTCTTGTTTTGACTACCTGATATATTAAAATTAAGACTGCATACACAATAATTATAAATAAATTATTAATTGTTTTTACACATTGCTGAAATGCTCTTAAAACAGTTTCATAGCAAACTTAAATACTTTTTTATCTACCATGAAATGATGAGACAATTGAAAAAATATATTAAATAAATAATAACAGGAATATAGTTAGCAAGTTCAAATCCGCTGTGGTATCTAAAGTTGCAGCCTATTTACGTACCACTCCTGGGCACAGGCCTCCTCTCATTTCTGATAAGGTTTTAGGGCAAGGAATTGTCTACCGCGCTGAAACATTAGCGCTGAGTAAAATGCATACACAAACCATGATTGACTATTAGATTATTTTTATACACATTCAGATAGTTTTTCCCCGTGTGGCATTTGAACCCACGGCGCACAACGTCGCAGCCAAACGCTAAGCCATTGCTCTACAATCGCTGTCACAGCCGAAATTTTTACAGTTTTATATTTAAAAAATGTACAAGTTGTTGGTTGAATCATGCTTTGCAGGAGAGATGTGAAAGAGCAAGTAAGGTCGATTTCAGAACACAATAGGGACGTACACTGAATTTCGAACGGCGGTCGTGGTAAATTATAAACGTGTATACGTGTACATACATGTGATCATACCTAAAAGTGAGGGGTGTCGCGTAATATAAAGTTAACGAAGCCTGTTAAGCGTTGCTGGGATACCCGGTGTGCCTTCTGCTTGCGGATTTAGTCTAGGTTTAGATTTTAAGCTTGTTACTCGAAAGGGTTGAAATGATATGCTTAATATCGTGTACAGTAGTGAAACCTTAATGTTAATATCTAAAATTATCTTTATTATAAGTTTTGTAAATCATAATAAATTTTCGAAAAGGGAATGAAGTTAAATGTTCATACTATAGGTGGTATTGATGTAGTGGTATTTATATTATTATTGGTCTTTAAATATAGCTGCAGCATGTATGGGTCGTTTCGACCGGTGAGAGACCACACAGATAGAAAAACATAAGGAACTGCCATGAAAATGCTAATTTTTAATTAATTAATTATCAAAACCCAAGTTTTTGTGAATAGGGTAAGCACTTGGATAACAAAATAAATTACACGTAAAAAACGTGCCCTAAACGGTACTTTCAACGATTTGCGATACAACACAAACACTTATACGTGGGTTGGCTCCACCACGGTAGGAACACGCTTTCACGGAATACCAGCGTAAAATAGTAGTTTGATGCTGCTGCGTTTCATTTTGTCAGTATAGAGAACCGGAGATCTTTTTAACTGGAAACGGGGCATTCTATCTTAGTCCTCAAGGGTGACTACGCACCTGCATTTTGATTCTTCATTGAGGATAAATGTAGATGGCTATGGGTCACAGCATCCACTTACCATAAGAAGACTGTGTGCTCGTTTGTCACCCTTATTCTATTAAAAAAAATTCCACCCAACCCTACTGGTAGTTCAGAGATGCCCACTTGCAGAGTGAAAAAATCTTGTCTCGAGTCTTTAAGATTATTTCAAAATCAGGCTGACACCAAAATTAGAAAACGCACTGCTACCATAAAATTGAAGAAGGACAATATAAAACAGTAAACATTTAAAATTATTATTTTTTAAAAAAAATATTCAAAGAACTGAAAAGAGTACAACCACATAATAGCCCCTGAAATCAATGCTAAAACATGCTGTTTAGAAGAATTAAACCCCCCACATTAGAAATTTTGCAAACATTATTTCATTTTAAAAGTTCTTTGAATTCGGCTTTTACCCTTTTAAGTGAACTAAGAAATATCACAAGACTGTGGGTAAAATGGCCTCTCCTGAAGTAAACCCATAACATACATACCTACAAATAAGAGTCGCATTGTAAGCCTCCTTCTTTTTAAATTTTTCGTTTTGAATCCTGAACGAAAACGATGGTCATGTGCTTCCGATTTCGAATCCCGAGTCAGATTATAATAATTTATTTAACGGCCCGGTTTCAGAAAACTGGCGGTGTTTAAACCCCGTGCCCCGTAAAAGGCTTTTTAAAGCATTTGGTCTTTCGTCTGATATTTCTCCGTGTCAGATTGTTGTGCCATCCGCCTGTGAGAGTGAATGTATAGAAAGTGTGCTTGCGCACACATCCTGTTGTCACCGAAATTCAATCTGGTGAATCTCAATTGATACCGTTATTTATTAATAATAAAAAATGTTACTGTTACAGTACAGTACACAAAAATATAAACAATATTTATATTTTTTTCTCAAGATTGAGAACCAATATCGAAAGTACACATTTCGAAATTTTATTCCACTACGTCTCGGATCCATAGCTCATCTTTGGCAACAAGCAATGGTTGTATAGTCTATCTAGTTTGAGGTTTTGAAGTATGTTGAGTTGAATCCGTCAATTGACCTCTCGGTCGAAGTTGGACTTATCTAGACGGACTGTTTGTCCCAGGTAAACATACAATAGCTTCGAGCTTAGTGCTCTCAACAACTATCGGCATAGGTGTAACATGGACATTACACATAACTTTTGTTTTGTTTAAGTTCATCTTAAGACCTATCCGTTGGGTTCACTATTGAGCATATTGCTTAGGTTCTCCAGCGATTTCGCCATAAGGCCTATATCGTCAGCAAATCGAAGGTGAGCAATTTACTCGCCGTTGATGTTAATACCGTATCCTTTCCAGTCCAGTAGCTTGAAAACGTCTTCCAATGCAGCAGTGAAGACTTTTGGGGACTCTCTGCAGTTGGATAGGTATCGTACACTGGCTTTGTACTCGGATATCCATCCTAGCCCTACTGTACAAACACTTCAGCACTTCGATATACCGACAGTCAACTTGGAACAGCTGAAGGGACTGCAGCACCACCCGAATTTCGACGGAATCAAAGGCTTTCTCATAGTCCACATCCGCAAAACAATGTGGCAGATTGTACTTGTCTATTGTGCTAAAATCCTTTCGGAAACCGGCTTGTTCGGGAGGTTGGAAGTCGTCGTGTCTGCGTGCGAGACGACTTGTAATGACTCTCGAATACAGCAAGTAGACTCAGCTCTGCGATGATAGCACCTTATGTGCGGAATTTCAATTTACCAATTATACCATCTGAAAGGTCAGAAATTGGTCATAAAAGGTCAGTTGATCTTATTAATTGGTCAGCGATAAAAACATTTTAATTAAGGGTTAAAGTTTTCCAAGGTCATCGAGAAATTTTAACACCTCATTCGCGAAAAAAATAAAAAATATGCGCGATCGAGAAGCATTCGCTGATAATTGGT